TCCCTGGGCGGTGGCAGCCCCAGGCAGGAGGGTGAGGGAGTGGTGGGATGCAGGGACTGCTCCCGTCATCCCTGCTGCTGAGAGGCCATTTGTCGAGCCATGTCTTACAGCCAGAAGCATCCTGGCTACCTCCATCGGGCTTTCTTAGTGCCCTGGTGGGCCTGAAGCCCACCCTCCCCTCAATGGGAAGTTTTCACAGCCATATGAAGAAGGTGGGTACAGTGCATCCACCTGCCCTGCAAACCAGTCCCTGCTATTGCTGCTTTTTTGGCAGCCTCTGTGTGTGTGAGCTTTTCCTGGGAATGCTCAGTGGGATCTACTCCCACTCTGGGAAACGGGCTGTTTCTGCAGGTGAACTCACTGGTTGTGTTCAGCCCTCTGAGATCCTGATCCATGGGGAAGGATAAGCCCGGGGAAGTGCTGAGCCCTGCAGGAAAGCCCATTAGAATAGATAAGGAGGAGCAGGGATCTCTGCCTCCCATGAGGCTCCTTCCCCTGGCTGCAGGTGGGGGCAGCTGGTTCACTTTCTGGGCTTGTCTGGCAAAGCTGGAGTAACGAGAAGCTGATCTGATTGGACTGGGTTCCATCCACTTTCACTTGTGTAAATTGGGAGATTCCCACTTCCCAAGGCTGTGGGGGAAGAAGGTGGGCAGATACAGTGGAGACTGGCCACCTCATTGCATCTCATTGCAGCCTGCCTGGTGGCACAGCCATGATGGGCCATGGGTCAGGTCCACACCACAACCCATGAGCCCAAAACTCACGCCTCAAGGCTGGGGCTGTGCTCGCGCTCCGGTGGGAGAGGAGTCTTCCTGGCTGGTGGGGACACTGCTGCCCTTGAAGGACTTCTCTCCAGCAGGCAGGGTCTGGAGCCGGGTCTCACCAAGGCAATGGTTCCGTGCAGCCGGTTTGCAATCCTCTGGGATGCCTGTGGCAGGGGAGAAAGTCCAGGTGAGTGGTTCTGCTGGATACCCCAGGCAGAGCTTGGCCAAGCCAAGCCACAGCTCTTCACCAGCATGAGCAAGACAGACAGCTCCTAAGTGCTCTGTTCAATACAATTCTGGTCACCAGCTCAGATATATTTGTATTGGTTTTCACAGGAAGTTTCCCCTGCATGTTTACAGCACTCTGTGTGTTCTGGCTGCACGGATTTGTAGCCCAGGACATCTTGTGCCTCCTCTAGACTGAAGCCACAATTCGGTAGCTTAACCAAGATAAGACCCCACAGATTTCCTGGCCCCTAGTCAGGCCTTGATTCATTCAAGCTCCTGGCACACACTGCTTTGATGGGTGCCTTTCCAGTAGAGCACCTGGCTCTGAGGCCAGGACATCATCATCTCCATCTGCTGTAATGAAAGGCTCACCACATGTTCTGACTTGACTTTCCCCTGCCCACCTGGAGATGTCACCAACCCTTCCTGCCATCCCTATTAATTATCCCTGCAGCCTCACCAAAACCCCTTCTCACCTGCTCTTTCAAGTTTTCTGTGGAGTTTGGGTAAGCAAAGCCTGTGCTGAAACAGAAGCATCTATGTGGGTGTGTACGTGGGCCTGAGTTCCCAGGAACAGGGCTCCAGGTCCTGCAATCTCATCTCCCAGTGCCCAATATCATCATATCCCTCAGCATCCCTTGGCTGATACACACTCCCTGTGTTTTAAAGGCACGCCAGGCTTGCATCAATACACAAAATGGCAACCACTGCATGCCAGGCCCTCTGAAGATACCAATATTCATCATGCTGCAGATGGAGAGACATCTGTGATGCTCCTGGGCAGGGCTGCTGTGCCTGCAGCCCTGAGGTGTATTTGCCCTCAGTACCCACAGCTCCCACAGTTTACATGTTCTCCAGGCTTTTCCAACACTCACAGTGCTCCAGCTTCTTGCTCACCCAGATGATGGGAAGATGACTCTGTAACTGAGGATAAGCTACACTGAAATGTGGCTCAGCACAATCAGCACTATCTGCCAGCAAGACAGCTCAGAGAGGAACCAGAGTGAGGAGCAGATGACTCAAGGATGCTAGATGTCTTGTCATGGAGGATAAACACAGGAGCAAAGATGTGCGTGGGGGGACAGGGCCCTGTGACTAACTTCAAATGCTTGACTTGGAATGAGTGGCAGTTTTTGTGGAGAGGATGCATCTGGCATTTGGTAGTGCCCTTCTTGGCTCTGGCAACTGCCCAAATCTGGCTAATTGTTTCACCTCTTAAGTGCTTCCTGCTCTTTCACTATCCCAATCTACCCTTCTTGATCCAATTCAGATGACCACAGTGGGGGAAGAAGGCCTGAGGACCTCAGGCTACCTCCAGTAACTCACCATTTCAGTGAGGCTGACTTCTTGGAGGACAGTGCGTGGGGAAGTCCTACTGCTTGGAGGGCTCCTCTGCCCTGCAGGCTTTTCTGCAAAAAAAAGACAGAACCAGCCACTGTGACAGCCCCACAGAGCAGGTGCAGGCTGCCCTGCCCTGCAGCGTGATGGAGACTTGCAGCCTCCCCAGGATGATCTCAGCTGGCACCAGCCACCTTGTCTTGAAGATTTTGAGCCAAAATTCCCATCTGGCTCAAGCCAGCACCTGATAGAACATACCCTCCATTGCATGTGTGGGTGGCAGCAAGGCAACCACACGGTCTCTGGATGAAATGGGTGGCAGGTCCACACCTGCACAGCACTCATTTTGCAGTGAGGGCACCCAAGCACTCTTGCTCTAAGACAGGGCAGCGTGTTTCTCCCTTGACATGCATCCCCCCCCAGCAGCTATTCTGCCCATGGCAGTGTCCATCTGAGCTGCCAACAGCTTAGTCTTTGCTTTCCAGATTTTTTCCCAGAGTAGCCTTGCACCACAGGTCAGTCACCCTTCCCATCCCCAGGTCCCTCAAGGGAGGTGGGAACCAGCAGCACTCACCTTCTCCCAGCTCAAGGCCTGGAACATCCTGGTGGGCATCCCCCCCCAGCAGCTATTCTGCCCATGGCAGTGTCCATCTGAGCTGCCAACAGCTTAGTCTTTGCTTTCCAGATTTTTTCCCAGAGTAGCCTTGCACCACAGGTCAGTCACCCTTCCCATCCCCAGGTCCCTCAAGGGAGGTGGGAACCAGCAGCACTCACCTTCTCCCAGCTCAAGGCCTGGAACATCCTGGTGGGCTTCTTCTGCTCCCCTGGAACCTGTTTTCTCAGTGCTGGCATTC